AGGAAGTACTTCAACTAAGGACGTCATACTTCCCAGTAGAAAAAGCATTCCATCATGATAGATATAATTACCATGCAGATATTTTAAAACTCTGCGAAATCCACTGATCAGTTGCGCAAAGCTGCGAATGAGGGTCATTCGCGGAGATTATCCTTGCATCAACACTGGGAAATGCATCAAGTTATCCTCGATTATTATAGTGCATGCTAGGCAAGCTTCCCAAATAAATTGTGCTGATCTATGGTGAACAAATTCATCCTACATGCTTAGTCCGATAAGTATATCGCATACAAACGTTGTCCACCAACCACCGGGGTGTAATTTAAATTGGCAATTTCGTGGATGCTATCTCCCATTTGAATAACAATGTGAAACGTTAAAAAAGGGATTGTCTCATAAACTGGTAATCAAATGTGAATCGGCAGTGGTCATTGACCTTGAAGGTTCACTCCCTCAAACGAAATGTTATGACGTAACATATCAATGGAAGGTTCAGCGGATGAGGTTAACTTCTCGTCAACTTCACATCTCCGAAAATCTCGTAGTTTCGGCGACATTAACTTTGGCTCATGATCTTCATGTGGACGTGGTGGCAGGTTTCGCGGGGTAGCTTTTTATTACGTTTTTTTTTGCTTCTCGTTGCACCAGGCGACCCACCAAAGAGCCCAGCTCTAAAATTCCATCGCAGCTACTATGCTGGATGGATTGTTTATGACAGGCTGCACAAGTTGTACTGGGCGACGGCCGAATTATCTTTGTATGTTTAGTAACTCCCGAATGATGACATCCTATCATCTGAAGGACAACCGTCCAATCAGGAGTTTCATTTTTACGACCTTTCCGTCAACCGATGCCCGATATACGACGGGTTGAAAGAATGCGACCCTATGCTGCATCAGAAACTCCGTCATCAGAGGCGTGGCAGTACGTCGTAGAGTGACTTGAGAATGTCCCAATAAACACAAATAGGAGTGGCGAGCTACTTCCGCTACTGGTGGCTGCAGTCGGCCAAAGGTGGTAATTCAAGAAATTTATAGTGCAGCTTTGTCGGCTTTATTCAGAATTTTTCAAAACGTGTTGCAGACTGATGGGGCCAATGGTTGTAGCCTTAAATGAGCTGGAGCATAGTACCGGAAAACTGGTTGTACCCCATAGTGCGTGTTCTCACCACTCAACCCTGGACCATCCGAACCGAATGCGGTATCCAATTAGCAACCTTGCCGTGTTTACGACAATATGCAACATGGTCAGGGGCGGACGAGGTCACTGCAAGGAATAGAAATGTATTAAACGGATAACCTCACTGGGTTTTCAAAACAAATTATCAATTGAGAATTATCAGTCAGTTCAGAGGTGGCCTTCTTATATCGAATTTTACGGTTTCCAGAGGGCTGACCAAAGCACAAGTGAACGAGTTTTCGCCAAAAGTTCGTTGTAACAGTGGAGTGCTTGAGTAGGGAGTACGTGGCACCTGAATTGGCAGGTCTCTGTAAAAAAAACTACAAGCCATGCAAGGGATGGGTCTTTTATGTTCGCTCTGTAATCAGGCTAGATGATCTGCGGACCGAGGGGCGAAAGGAAACACAGAATGCTCCTGACTGACAGACGAGGGCCAGAGTAGCTCACTCCTGCAGGAGAAATGAACTTTATTATTAAAGTGTTGCCCGGGATGAAAGTACTCACAGTCGCTTGTCGGCAAACAGGCCCGCATGTCCACAGGGGATGTTGCTGACCGTTCAGCAATAAGTTATCGTATTCGAAGGGAGGGATAACATGGTCCAAATGTTCCTTTCTTGATATACCAAAAATGGCTCAAGGATAGATGCAGAAAAAAGATCCAAGGATCAGTGAACACCCACATCTTCCGAAAATGTGTCGGGCATTGTACATTAAGGGTGACAATCAATGGTCTGCATAGAACATAAAATGGTGGTCGTTGGCTTGTTCGCTGAGCTGGGCTATTTGATTGCAAACGTTTCATCACCAATCGAGGTGACATCATCAGTGCGCTTTGTGGGGCGTAGTAGTGCGTAGCGGTGGGTTGGTGGTTGTGCACCTCGATTGGTGATGAAACGTTTGCAATCAAATTGCCCAGCTCAGTGAACAAGCCAACGACCACCATCTACGATACCTGAGCTACCAACATTTTCCTCTGTAGAGAACATAGAATTTTCTTCGAACCACGTGCTACGCTTTGAGCAAAGTCAACCCAATCAAGGTACAAAAACAGGGAGAGGATATATGCACCAAGCAATAAACAAATCAAACTATTTTTTATTACAAAAAATGGCATCAATCAAACCCGCAGGTCCTGTGTAAAGTATAACCTATCTAAAATCTGACCTTCCGGAGACCACTGTCCACATATTACCATGTCCACAGGGTGAACAAACTCAAGGTTATTAATTCTTATGAGCCGATAACATGAGTGTCTCTCCTTCACACATCCATGATTCCAAGAATAAATTAAGTAATAAGAAAGCGCCACCTGAGTGTAGTGCACTTATTTTACACTGGTCATCACGGAAATGGACAAACTCGATCAGCGAGTGAGAAGACAAGGATCCAACTAGCGATCCAACTTTGTGCAACGCCCACGTCCAGTATTCTCACAATGGAATTAATTTTTGACAGCTACAACTTGTCCCCGATGGACTAAACCAGACGGGTAAATGAGTTCGGAATACCAAACATTTCAGCCCCATCTAGGCATCCCGGGTCCCAGTGATGCTTGAAAAGTGTTGCACCAGAATTTTTCTGTCAAAAGTAAGATTGCTTCAGCGGACAATGAAATTTGGCGGGCTGCAAAAATATGAGTGTAGATTGGGGCGGTTTTTGGTTAGAGCATATACGTAACAAAATGCAACATTCCGGCGTAAAAGTTCTGTTCCACCAATCACAAAGGTCTTGCAGCGGTCAAGGAGCCCCATGCAATTAAACGAAACAGTTTCACATTTGGTTCCAAAACACAACTTATCATACTTTCCTGGCCTTCAAAAGGTTTTTATGCAATAAAGAATCTAGTTTGCTTATGTGCATCAGGGAAATCAGTGCAAATAACTTTGCAGAACCACCTTTAGCCACCGGATGCTGTGTTTACCGGGGCGCTGCACACCCAGTGCACCAACTGCGTGTTGCTGAGCAGGTCTTTTTTCTTGTTCCGCTAATGAAGTAGATGACGTTGTCGGCTCACGCAAAGCTTCATGAATGTGGCCGTGTACTCATGAAGGGCGTGTGCACCACACCACTGGCGTGGAACATGTCATCTAAAGGGGTCGCCCAGGCGTGCGGATTAGAAACATACCACTAACCACTGTGACTGATGAGTAATTCGGGAACGTGAACGTTATGTTCTACTCAGCCAGTAAATCAACTGGCAATAAGGAGGGAAACAGGGGCCCTTGACTAAAGAGTTACTACAAAACAAAACGATGCATCCAACGTGTGGCTTTACGTTCATCTCTGGGTCCGGTGCCTTCTTGCTATAACTTCATTACATAAAGACCCCACTTAAACTATTGCTCACTAAGCTGCCAAACGGACTAACCATGGCTACTGTTCTAGAAGCCACTGAACGCGACCGTCTGCTGCATGAAGTCATGAGGTTCATTCAAACTGACCGGCCCAGGCAGAGCGTTAAGATAAAGGGTGTATCAGTACGCTAACGGTAAAAAAACGCTGTAGATCGTTAATGGTTTTCTGTTTGCTGAGATTGATTATAGAAGACGCCGTTCGACAACGAGCAATCGGACAATTCCACAACGGCTACCAAGGAATAAGCCAAATGAAATAATTGAGCAGCAGCTACGTTTATTTGCCCGGCATGGATAAGGACCCGGAGGAATATTGCCCCAATTGTCCTCAATGCATTGAAATCGCCAAGGATCCGCCACGATGTAAAAGATGACGGGCCAATGCCTGAGGCACCATGGCGAAGCTACACATGGATTTCAGGGGTCCAATGGGTGGTCCGAACTATCTTATAATTGCAGACGCTTTCACGAAGTAATCATAAGTCTTTCGAGTGCGTGAGGCACCTGCTGAAGCTACTATTGCCACACTGCAGAAACTACCCAGTTGCTTCGAGCAACCACATACAATAGTGACAGACGATGGTGCACAATTCACCTCAGCTCAAACCAATGACTCGTTTGCAACACGCTGGTGCACATCCGATCGCCGCCGTACCACCCTCAATCAATTTATGGATACCTTTGGGCGAGATCCATTGAAACCTCGACGGGAGGGGTCAACAGAGGCTGTGGCAGCTACAACCAGTGTACGACCAGTACGCGGTTATTACAGCTGGTAATGATGATGATGATGATGAAGCCCCCAGGTTGAGCATCTGCAACATATCTAAGTGGAGGCATCAGGGTGCCTCCAGACCGGAACGTAAATGTGCGGAGAACATGTCGCGAAGGTCATCATCGGTCACCACACGATCTGGATAGCAGGCGCGTGAGCGCATCTTACAAAACGCGGTATGTGCCACCAGGAGAGCGAGTGTGAAAATGGTCAAGGCAGTAAGTTCACCATTGGCTGGGTAAGAACAAACAAGCCATCCTAAATATTTATGCACTAGCTCTGTATTTGATGGACAGTACAGCCGTGTATTCGGTCCTGTCATCTTATCATGTAGTCTGGCAGGCCCCATCCAGACGTAACCGATAGGCGTTCTCAGGTTACGACAGAATCCAATCCAGGAAGCTATGTTTATAGGCATTTACAGATTACTGGCCTGTGATACAGAAAGGACACAGTGGGAATACCTACGATTGTACTACCCAGTAGTTCTAAAGACTGCGTAACGGCAGTATCTCGCGTATTGCATAGTTGATGGTGCGCAACCGAGCCTCCCGATATGAAGAGATTGAGTTGCGTGTAAAGGATTCTAGTATTGAGTCATGGAAGAACAGTCCGGTAGCGGGCAGCCATCAAGCGAAGATTTGCAATTTGTAGCTAGGACGTCATCCGAGGAAATGCATTTTAGGACAACATATCCGAGGGAATGACTGTATTTACTCAAGAAGCACAGCCGATGGGAAAATGTACGGCTTGAAAGCAAGATGAACACACCAAAAGGAGGAACAAGAAAACATGTCTTTTAGTGTCACTGGGTGGATGAGTGAAACAGGAGTCACTGACAAACACAATTTTTCACTCTGTGAGAACAAACGTGGGAACTTCAGTACCGACATCAATAGCTTGGAAGTGTGCATCAGAAAGCCTGCAACCACTGAGACCGATTAAAATGCATTGGATGTTGTTGTTGAATCCACACAGAAGAGGCATGAAAATCAAATCTCGGCCTGCGTAGAAGAAACCTACAGTAAGGAAATGAATGAATGTAGAATATAGTGCAACAAACACGCAGGTATTAATGTATAAATGCCAACATAACATTAGTCGCATTTTAAACGGATCCAAGTGGTCTCAAGCTTGTTACTTCGGGATCCGTTTCTGTGACCGACCACCAGCTGGACCGAAGTATATGTGCTCAAAGACAATAAATAAAGTGCCAGTTGTTGCGTTTGAGATTTGTCTACATTTGACCTTTAGGGGCGGCGGCAGATGCCGACTGGTCGGCGCCTGAAAAGAGAGCCGATCTCTTGGAATTTTGAAGCCCACTTTACTGAGACGTCCTAAGTGCGATATAATCAGTTGTTAAAAATCATCCGTTAAGGTAAAAAAAACAGCTAAGGAATAGGCAGGAGAATATGCCGTCAGACTCATCATTATCATCCTCATTGTCACCGACAACACATCAGTGTTCAACGCCGATGCTTCAGTGTCGTAAAAACATGATTTATCTAAAGTCCTTATTGTGAAGAAAGGAATAAAAATGGATGGGGAAAAGACTTAGTGCCAGTCTGCCAGAATCACTCCGAGGCACATACATCTTCATACTGATAGAAACTGACGACAAGAACGTCACTGACATCGATTAGCAGCCATATCATGCAGCGTCTCCAACCATACATAGGGGTAGGGGGAGACCACCCGGACCCAATTCTGAAAGGTGAGCGGCAACGACATCACCCAGACTTTGCGGAATCCCTTTCATACCCGTCAGTCATGTCAAGAGTTGGCAACCTCTCTACTTGCGTCACTCTTATTCGGGCAAAGAAAACAGTACCCTTTCCGACAAACGACGATTCGGCATGCGCAATACATGGCCAGCACACACTAGGTGCTAGACAAAATCTTTGACTGAAGTTCTTTGAACAACCGGACGCTCGGTATGCAATCACCGACACTAGCCTACACGGGCTATGGTTCTGAGACAACGTCTGTCAAGGACCTGGAGACCACTCACTTCAGCAACTTTCAGAGACTACTTCTCACGGATATACAAAAAAGCTGTGCTTTGGCCGGATATCCATGCTCTTTGACATACAGGAATATTCCACCATACTCAAGTAGGTTACTCAAATAGGTTCGTCTGTCACACTAAAAGAGACGTAAAACGTTCCTAAACTTCGAGTGCCTACCCTTGGATTGTGAGTGGCGCGTTCAGTGATTGCATGATATTTGTGGGTGCAAGGCGCATCCCAAAGTACGGATGACTCTGACTTTACCTTCTTCTCTTTGAAGGCAAGGATAAGGTTTTTGTTAGCAGCAATTCGGACACTAGGATTTTGAAGACCTCCCACTGTTTGCCTCATTATCTTGTCGATTCAAAAAAGGATACAAATAACGGAGTGTGCATTCTTGTCAGACACCATTTTGTGTATGGACGTTTTTGAAGAGTTCCGCGTATACTCTCACACACCAGGAAGTCGGAACATACATTCAAGAACCTCCTGGGTCATTTGTGCCTAGCTGCCATGCCATCCAGAAGAAGCATGAGGGTTGGTATACTGCCAGCTTGCCCAAGCCTAGACAGAGGGCGAGATGCAGACGTCGGGTTCGAACTGCAAACCTTCTAGTCAGTAAATTTGTGCTCTAATCACTGAGTCATTTCGTTCCTCTTGGTCACTCTGCTGATCAAGTACGCTAAAATGAACGAACCGACCCAGTGACTCGAATACTGACTCCACGAATTGTAGATCGTTTATGCGCGTACGCTTGTTCTAGCACCTGACGGGGTGTGAAGATTTAGTCAACACAGGCCAAGATTCTACTTGCTGCAATCGAGTCAATGATCCATGGGACACCATAATGCAACGAAGGACAGGTGACTCCAAGAGTCGCGTCACCACTGGAGTCAAGTGTGATACTCCTGTGATTGATAAACTCTCTACGGTCCTCCTTTGAAAATAGGCAGTATTACCTATTCTTCGTAGTTGCCTGTGACAGTCTCCTTCAACCGAATAGAGACAAGTAGATCAGATAAGTGTTGACTGAGGACTTCACTCAGATCCTTAAACAATGCGGGTGGGAGGTTATCCTGGACATGGAGCTCAGTGGATCTTGATAGAATATAAAATTCATAAAATATCTGAGGCCGTAAGGCGTTTCAGGTTCACTGCCAAGTGTTGTTCATCAGCTGCAGGATCGCAATGAGTTGTAGAGGTGGTCACGAGATTCGTTGTTCACACTGCCCGGCCAAGTAGTCGAGACGTCCTTCCTGACTGAAGATGGCCGCACCACTTTGGACCCTGATGACTTCACTCACCTGAAGTTTCTGGAGCTATCGCGCGGATCAACCGGAATAATCTGACGTTCTCTGTTTTTTGGGCCTCTTCCATTTCGTTAGTCTTCCACGTTAGTCTTCCAGGCTTTACGGTCGGCGCACACGTTCACCTTCAGGGAATATCTGATAATCCTTCGGGCCAAATTATGTTCGTGACCGGCGGAAACATTACTCTGAGATGCAAGCGGTGCCACTGTTCTGTCCGAAATCCAGTGCTTGAGCAGACCTCCTAGTGACGTGCCACAGGCGAAACGTCCGGCAATGTGCAAAGATGTGGCCATTTCGGTCTAGTGCGAATTGGCATCTGACGGCGTAGCATTTGAGAGTGCAGAGGATGGTTCTGATAAGCTCGCTTAACTTCGGAATCTGTCAGCCCCACAGTTGCTGGGCGCGGTCCTAGAAAATTTAGAGGGAAGTGACCCCTGACATGCGGCAGTCAGCTGCTGACACGCGCTATCGATAGCGGGTGGCGACATGATCAATTCGGGTCTGTGGCCGGCACCCTATTAGAGGATACCAGGCGACTTTGTTATTTGTGAAGTTAGTGCTGGATAGAAGCAGTTTACGGTTGAAGCAGTCGTTCACCGTTGTCTGTGCTTACCTAATCAATCTACTAATCCCTAATTCCAGTCAACCAAATGCGTTACATCTACCCACTTTCGTACCCGAATTTCCGGGGACAACGACATCTGAACTTTTAACCCACCGAAAAAGGCAATTCAAGGGGTCGTAAAACTTGCTTTGATGGTGTCAGAGTTAGAGTTGCTCGGGGCGTAAGCAGACAAGATAAACAGAGGACGATCAACTTCCCGCTTGAGACTACTTCACGGACGTTGAGAGCCGCAGCGACTCTTGGATCGCCACAGATGCGCAGTCGGACGTGATTGGAGTGATAGGGGAGTTAGCTCAAACGCAGCACTTGAGTATGGAATTATTGTTTCTGCAACGGAGTACATATCAATTTCAAACAAGCCCAGCTTGCTTCAGGATGCGAACACTAAAAGCAGCGTCTAGGCTCCAAAATTTTCGCTTACCCGCTCCGCAGCAAATAGGGCGACAAATTATGTGGTATGAATACTTACTAGTAGGCATTATGACTGTACGTGGGCTATGATACTTAGATGGCGCGCAGATCTAGAGAGAAGGACGATTAGTGTTCCCAATCAAAGCCTTTGACCCAGACATCTGATCACCTTTTTTTAAAAAAAAGGTGCCGCACATGTCCCAGCTCCAGCCTGAGGGACCAGGAGACTGTTGTCAAACTTCTAACAATTGACCAAACATGTGCGAGAGACTGCACGGACAACTCCCTCGTATAGCTCAAAGGGTCACGGGGGCACACAAGTCGCCACAATGTGGTAAGACCCAGTCTCTTCATGTCAACTCGATCAGCCATCACATGGGCAGAGAATTTTAAGAACTCAAAATCAAAGAACGGTGACCTTTAGCCTTTTAATGACAATTTTAAAATTTTTAGAATCAAAAGTAGTGGACGGTCAAGGAATTTGCGAATCAGTTACAACTAATCGAATCTCCGATGTTCAGAGAGCGGATTAGCGAGAATGGAATCATCCACAGTGGGGCAGCTCAGCCACCGATAGATGAGAAATCAGCATCCGTCGCTATAAGAGGTCAATCTTATTCGGTGAACACAACTAAACAGCCGTCGACACAAGAGGTTGCTGGAAAGGATGACTGCAGCTAACTTGGCTTCTTTTCCAACACACTGAAGCAATCACGTTTTCCTTAGGAACATGACTAAATGGCGAATTTGTCTCTGAACGCAATGCAACCAAAACGCGTTTGGCTAACAACATTTCTTATTACACCACGTAGGTTTTGGAAAAATGCACTGAGTGCTATTGCACACTTGGATGCATATAAAAAACGTAAAGAAAGGCTTCACATCTATAGACATCTGGGTGAACTGCCCTTATTAAGGCGTTTGCCGCAACTACCAAATGAGCGAAAACCTACCACAGATGAAGTGACACTTTCAGACGTCGTTGTCGCGGCATTTCCCTCGACTGGAGGTGGCGCAAAGCTCATGTGGACTGAACGGCCACGAAATTGATGAAACTGACGCATTGCACGTTCGGCAAAATCCCGTGTGCAAAATGTCACCTCAAGGACGGGTTGGTCAGCAGACGAGTAGTTGTGTTTTACAACTTGTTGGGTGTACAAATAATTTAGCTGTAACGAGGAAGAAAACAGGTGACTAATGCTAACGCAAGCTCACGGGAAAGTGCAGGTAGACCATCATATCTAAAAAAGATGGCCAAAAACGAGTTACAGTAGATGGACCACTCTCAATCACGAAAAAACGGTACTCCGATGTCGGGATTCAGTCCCTGTAGGATTCTTCGCAAACGGTAAGGGACCTTTTAAGCAATACATATAAACCGACAAAACTCGAACAGAACATTTGAGAGTGGGAAAATTCCCTGGAATCCACAACGAAGATATTTTAGGCTGTTTCACAATTCACTTATAAGTTAGGTACGCATATGCAAATGAGGATCGATTTCGTGAGGTTAAACCCACAGGCGTTAGAGCTTAGACTAACCGAGCAACAAAAACAGACTTGTTAACTTAAGGGGCACGTGACAAGCACTGATCAAGTGACACGTGGACTTGTCTCCCGCTACGCTGGCTGGGTGGAGCCACCACGTTGTCACCACATCGACCGGTGTGATTGTACGTGTTCCGCCTGGACAGGAAAGCACATAATTTCACAATGATCGACTCACTCTCTTTTCATAGCGATTCTATAAACGGCTTCATGTGAGGAAGTTACTGGCTGATAGGAAGCGATTAAGAAAATGCAGTCAGAAGAAACAAGACGACTGGACTAGATTATTGCTGGGCGTGGCTGAAATCAAAGCCACTTTGGCCTAAGCTCTCTTCGGAGGATGCGTTACGAAAATGCAGAAGAGGTGGCTCCAGTTTATTCATAAAGGCTCCGTCTTTGGGGGTCATTGTAATTAAGAGATGAATAGTAAGACAATGAAATCCAAGCCGGAAGTTTATAAAGTGGGTTGTCTTAACACATTTAACTAGCGAAGGGGGGTAAGATCCAAGCTGACTCTACTGATCACCAAACACAATGGGTTTGTCATATTCCTACACACGACCCCTTTTGCACTTGGAGTTCCAGATTCGCCAGTCCAAGTTTTCTTACAGATTTTTCAGTTCTTCATTACGCTCCTCCAGGAATGCAAACCGACTCCATAAATAATTGGTTCGGTGAAAGGACTGTTAAGGGTTCGGTGACAGTGAGAATGGACGGCAATCCGAGTGTAATAAACTTTCGTAAACGAGGGATTCAGCCGAGTCCCCTGATAAAACCTAATAAGCGTGTAAATGGACGCATCTTGTGAATTTCGTACAATTTGGGTTCGAATATGAGGTTGATGGAACTTGATGTGCTTCAAAATGGACGAAACAGTTCGTGGGACATCGAGGAGTTTTCAGCAGACTTGTAAGTAGTGTACCACCACAAAACTTACTATTACCTTTAAAAAGTTAGGCGAAAAATTAACCTACAGAAATAATGCAAACTACGGGTTGCCTTGAACACACGAATTATCCAGGTAATATTGTGGTCCGAATTCACTATTTGACGGGCTAGTTGGACGAGACAAATTCAGGGCCTGCGACAAGTTAGTCTCGGAAACGACCACTTACCGAGATGCGCTAACTACCCTTTGGTTAATAGGAATTTAAACCCAGATCTGATCTGCCTTGTTGATAACACCCATGTCATCTACGAGCTGGCTAAGTGGAGCAGGATACATGTTAGAATCTGGTTTCACGTCACTTGGGTGCCAAGTGAACAAGTGCGACTTCTAGCTTATTCCGACATTGACTTCAGGTCAACTGAGAAACAGCAGAATACCAGATTGTGTCCTGAGCTATGACCCTCATGAGCGCACATTTAGTGCTGGGCATTTAATTTGGGGAAACCTGCTTGAGAAAGTCCATGCCACCGTGCTCAAATTGGTAAAAAAACCACCAGCTCAGAAAGAAGATGAGGACCATGAGCCTAAAGAGGTTAACATGAGTTCCAAACGTGATACGGAAAGTCAAAATCTAGTGGTGTTGCTCAAAAGACGAAATCTCAAATGAAAATTGTCAAATGGGCCAGCCCGATCATAATGAGAAAGTTGTAGCAACAATCAACGCTATTTACTGCGTGAAGACAACTAAATTCGGTTCGTTTCAAAAAATTTGGTCACAACAAACTGAGCAACGCAGACAGATTTCAGAAACGAACAAAGAATATGCGAGCACATCTGATCCTGAAGCTTCACTGTCAACATTAATTTTGGTGCCATGGCGACGATGGGAAAACGGGTCCAATTGATTTACTGCATGTGCTCTTCAAAGAGAGGCCGATAGACAAAAACTCGAAAACCATAAAGGAGTACAAAAGTCGCGTTTTTGACATGATCCTGTAAGGCTGAATTAATCTACACTGGAAAGAAGCAGAGTAATTGCAGCTATGCCATTAGAGACCATTCTCAAATCCTGAAGGGAGGGAGCCTGCAACGCGTCGTAGAGAGCTGATTAGTCGAATTTGAAGAGGACATTACATACTGATAGAAGTATTGCGCGTAACTATACGAATGATAGCCGGTTGGGAATAAGAAGATATCTTGTTGGAAGAACGCCTTAACGTCCGTCACACTCCTCACGCTGTAGCTACTGAGATTAAAATCACGGGTTTGGAGACACATTCAAAATGAAGTGGGGAACGGACGGTCATATGTACGGGGCCTTATGACTATTATTCTGTCCGCCGAGCTGGACAAGTTACCAACCGAGGTGATATCACCAGTGCGTACCAGTTTGGTGGTGTATCGGTGTATGGGCCTACATACATCGATACATTTCGGTAGTAAGTGTACCCTTATGATTGTTCCGGATAAGGATACCGCTATAGTCAAGTAAAGACACCGTTCGGCTGCAGATCCCCTTCGGTGCCTAGCTGCCATGCCATCCGGAGGAAGCACGAGGGCTGGGATACTGCCAGGTTGCTCAATTCCAGAGAGAAGTCGAAATACAGAGGTCGGGTTCGAACCACGGACTTCCTAGTCAGCAAATTCGTGCTGTAACAGCTGGGCCATCTAGCCGCCAAAGGAAATCGCTCAGATGCAACGCCCCTTCGGTACTTAGTAGCCATTACCCTAATCACCGAGCCGCCTCGCCCAAGTAATAATCTGGCCACCACATGTATCAGACCAAAATAGACCATTTGTGTTCCTTACATCATGCCTACTTCAGACCACAAAAGAGTGAACAGGAGCAGTGGCGACAGTGAGAAGTGGACTTGACGAAGAAAACCTAGGCTTGCTGTACATTACACTGGATCGACTCTCACTACTGCACCAAACAAATCCCAGCGCAACGGATGATCATCAGGTTGCGAATGTCATTAAACCTTTGGTGCCAAAGGGGAAGGTTAAATGTCATTTTCCGTGAAAAACTAAGCTAATGTTCACTTTTAGTCAAACCATATATGTTAAAGTGGCGTTACTGGACGGGATATGCGCGTATTTATCAAGTATAACAACTGATGTTGTAAGCAAGGTTAGCGTCAGAGGGGGAGAAAAACTATGTAGACTGTGTTGAAACTCAAACCAAGGAGGGTATCGCAGACTGCAAACTGAAACTGGCCAAAAATTGTGTCAAGGTCAGATTTCTGAAAATAATCCCAGAAAAGCTAGGTGCCGATTGGACGCTCAAGCAGTCAGTCAATTCAGCAACAGTCGACGATGAGTTTCACTCAAAGCCGACCGGATGGTCAAGATTCAAGGTTAAAAGTGCGTTTCAAATACTGCGATACTCCCTGTAGTTTTTGCACTCACTTGTTCGCAATAAGGCTGTTGTGTTCCATGTTAGGGAGCCTTTTCCGACACTAAGGCACCGGAGTGTTTGTAGGTGTTTATAACAGACTGTTAGAGCTCAGTACACAGAAACATCCCCGAGGACTAACGAGGGTAAATGGTAAACGATTCCAAGCCGGTTGGCGAACAAGGCGAGTCATTGTTGACTAATATGTGAGTGTGCCTATCCTTTCATCAACTGGACATCGCCTAGTGAACGTATTAGTAGCCATTGGCAATCGATAAACTACTCTCCATCAGAAGAGAACTCCGAGAACTACTGTAATTATCCTGTACCTCAAAACAACATTAATTGAGCGGCAGTCACGTTTCGACTCACAACAGCAGAAGAAACAACTGAATGTGCTCCCTGGGAGATACATAACAAAAACAAGCCAGTCGTTGCCACTGAACGGGTAGCGTTCCACTTTTCTGAACATCGAAATACGACCGGGAGTTTTGCTGGATGAATCCAAGGTTCGGAACATGATGGGTAACTCTAGAAACAGGTCGCTTTCGTGGACTTTGACAAAAAATTCTGCAACCAGCTGCCACGCATTCAATGTACTGGGACCGCGGTTACTAAGGGTTTCGACGGTGCCCTTGGATGTGTGTGAAACACATACGATAGCACTTGGTGTCGGATGAACGCACGGAATAGGCCTCAAAGTCGACCTTGTACTGCTACAGCCCAGGATAACTCTTGGAATAACTGTTGACAAAAAACTTTCCGATCAAGACACTTCTGTTGCAGCATCCAAATAGTGTCACGATCTGTGCCGGCAAAGTCACAAAACTCTAATACATGATGACCGATTCGTGCTCCCATGGATGCACTCTTTGAGTAGGGCTCATTACAACTCTACGTTTGGGGAGTTCACTTTCTTTTTAACGCTGTCTTTCAAAGCAGAGTAAAACATACCGCCGAAAAATTTATTACCCAGTAATCCGACGGCAGTACTCGTGGATTTCTCTTTGAGTTAGAAGGTGAACAACTGGGCTACCGCACAACAGGTTATGCGGATGATGTTGAGGACGGAAGCACGAACCGTATGCCTAATTTCAATGGGTTTTGAAGTCCGTACAGGCTGAAGGGTTAAATCCAAGTTAATTTCTTTGTTGGCAATTGTAGTTCGCAAGGTAGTTCCGTCGTGTTCTGACACACGCTTTCTGAGATGTGACGCTGATGAGTACCTTGCATCACTGACACCACTGCGGCTAGAGAAGCATCAACGCCCACAGCACCGCCTAACTGCCGGTAAGTTAATAAATAGATTTGTGGCTTTACTTTGCAACTAAACGGGTAAGAAAACCTACGGACAGCGCCTTCTGAAAGTCTTCAACATCATCCAGAGTCAGACCCGACACGAAAAGAGTGCGCGGACGCTTGTCCAATTTGGTTTGATTTCTGGAGTACAGTGAACCACTCCCATCGGCTGGATCAGTTAAGGCGCTGGCAGCTGATATGTCGGATGGACGAACCGTTTCCAGTTGAACAAGCTGTGTAAAGGAAACAGACAGTAAATAAGTCGACAAAAGCACCTTTGATTATAGATACAGATGTATACAGAAAAACGGATGATATGACCAACAACCAGTAAGCCATACATAAGTATTCTTTTCAACAATATTATTTACACTGCTAAAATCGTTCGGGAACCGGATTAATCGAGATTGGCCAAATCCTGTTCCTGATTTGGACAGTTAGTTACCGCGGAACAGAGCGGATCGGTTTCTCCTCATTTTCCAAACTAGGTGGCGGTAGGCGTGGGAGAGCATTTAACGAGTTTCTTATAATTAAAACGATTATTTACAAAAGAACTCTATGTGCCATAGGTAAGAACCTGCTACAATATCCCGTTGGTGGCGTTTGCTTTGGTTTCGTTCGTGAGACGCGGTGTAGTTTTTTCATGAACAAGGATGTTGTAAAGACAGCATCCAGACTCAGCCATCAAAACGGTGCAAGTCAATTCTGTGGTTAACCTAACGAAATTTACCTATCTTATCTATCCACTACGGGGGCGAGATGGCTAAAGTGGTTGGAGCGCGAATTCACTGGCCGAAAGGTCCGTGGTTCGAACCCGACCTCTGCCCCTCGACTTCCTCTGTCTAGGCTTGGGCAATCTGGCAGTATCACAGCCCTCGTGTTCCTTCGGGTGGCATGACAGCTAAGCACCGGTAGGGGGTTACAACTGAACGATTTTTTTTAGCGAATTGGAGCGACGGCCTATTGCAAACCCTTAAACAGCCATGACACCACCCAAGTTGAAACAAAGCCGTTCGACAGAGATCGTCATTGTGCGTGAAGTTCAAAGGAATCGAAGACAGCCCTTGGTGAAAAAAAATGCAACTACTGGGCATTGGAAGCAGTGGGGCCATTCGGACGGAGATGCATCCATTGGCCAAGATAGGTATGTACTCCACTTGGGTCTTAACGATAGCTCACTTATTTCTCTTACAAGTGATGTGATAGCGCGCGACCTAATAGGATAACAGACTTGAGAGTGACATACTTGGCGCTTGAGTTCCAATATCCGTCGACGCTGGTCCGATACAGGTTCTCCTTTAGCTTTGAGGACTGCCATATCTTCCTCCACCAATTTTAAAGTAGAACGAACCTGGAAAACAAGATATTATAACCTGATGGTGTGTGCTAAGTTCGTCAGAGAATACGTGTGAATACAATCATACATGAGTTAGCGGAAGTACCAGCAAAAATCCTAACCAGGGCTGCACTTTTCGAATAAATTCCTGCCGACGTAAATCTCGTTTAGGCGGAAACTTACGAGGACTCTAGAGGAGATAGAATGCAACGTCCAGTCGGAGTATCCCACTACATACTGTGGACAACTCTTGCCTAGTTATGCATATGAACTGATGGTGCAAAGCGTATACAGGCCAACCGATCCATGGAGTCAAAAGTTCCTTGGAAGTCAAGGGAAACCACCACAACTGCTTGGTGATGTGCGTGACGCAGTTGACGTAGTGTGAAGATATGGTCGAAATCTTGCCTGGTGCTCTCGGACTTACCTCTAACACCATAGGCTCAGACATTGTAGTATTATTGAAACAAGTGGAAATGTTTATCCCCCATGGTTGGAGCAGTTGCTTCGAGTACTTTTTAGAATAATGGTACAAAGACCCATTGGCCCCAGATCGTTAGAAGAAATTCTCATTCCCAACTTAGTACAAGCAAGCTGGTCAAGTCAAGACAAAAAGCCTCACCATCGTCCTTGGATGAAGCTGGTGGGGCCCATTCGGACCAGTAACCTGATGGTGCTTCAAGTATCAGTATTTCATACATTGAGGAAGGGTTGAAACTCGCAGACCATGGCTTGTGGTCAGCAGGTGGAAGAAGACGTGAGTACAGGGGTAGGTGGTCCAGTCAATTTTGTCCAGAATATTGACCTGAGGTAAGGACGCTGGTTCTTGTTGTACATGAAATCTCCCACATTAACTCTGGCGACCTCAGTAACAACCAGTTATTTCGGTCCGTCCTGTGCGTCGGGCTAAAAAGTTTCCGGCATTCCCAGCTGTCCTAGGTCCCTCCATTTCCAGAGCCCTCCAATTTCACTAGGTTTCTGTAAGCTGACGTCTACTAGCCTTGCCCATTGAAATAGACTAAGCATCCAGAGGTGTACGACACCTTGCACCAAGTAGAAAGACTGACTGTGCAAAGTGGTCTCGGTTCCAATCCGTCCATAGATCGCATTGCGGCAACGTAAACTGCGTCCTTGGCAATCAAACTAATGTCACGTCGGCACCACAAGTGTCAGTCGTTGGCAAACGCAGCCCTGACCTTGATTTGCCAGCGCACCGGAATTTACACAGCTGCCAGGAAGGATGAATGTATTTACTTACAAGACCACTTCACCAGCCCTAAAGAGGAGTGTCGTACGACAGACTAAAAGGCTCCTTTCTTCGAGGTCCTCTCTAAGGAAGATTTGTTTGTAGTAGTGGCAGTAGTTTGTTGTCCTTAGCATGATTTCGAATGAGACGCTTCCCTCTTTTCTTCCATATTCTCCTGTTACTCTTTCGCATTCATCGCTTGCATTCACTTTTTATGTTTGTGACCATGCTCTTCAAAAATAAATGATAATAGTTAGTCGAGAGGAGTAAACCTAAGCGGGGGTCCTTAACGGACCCTCTTAGCACCACTGCGCCGAGTTCGCGATGTCCATTGTTCGAACGGTTACGTGAACACAATGTGCACAGAATAATCGGCAGATAATTCATTGTCAACTGGTTTTTAAGGTTGCATCATCAAACCATCTGAGAGTGACAGGTCAGACATTGTAGTATTATTGAAACAAGTGGAAATGTTTATCCCCCATGGTTGGAGCAGTTGCTTCGAGTACTTTTTAGAATAATGGTACAAAGACCCATTGGCCCCAGATCGTTAGAAGAAATTCTCATTCCCAACTTAGTACAAGCAAGCTGGTCAAGTCAAGACAAAAAGCCTCACCATCGTCCTTGGATGAAGCTGGTGGGGCCCATTCGGACCAGTAACCTGATGGTGCTTCAAGTATCAGTATTTCATACATTGAGGAAGGGTTGAAACTCGCAGACCATGGCTTGTGGTCAGCAGGTGGAAGAAGACGTGAGTACAGGGGTAGGTGGTCCAGTCAATTTTGTCCAGAATATTGACCTGAGGTAAGGACGCTGGTTCTTGTTGTACATGAAATCTCCCACATTAACTCTGGCGACCTCAGTAACAACCAGTTATTTCGGTCCGTCCTGTGCGTCGGGCTAAAAAGTTTCCGGCATTCCCAGCTGTCCTAGGTCCCTCCATTTCCAGAGCCCTCCAATTTCACTAGGTTTCTGTAAGCTGACGTCTACTAGCCTTGCCCATTGAAATAGACTAAGCATCCAGAGGTGTACGACACCTTGCACCAAGTAGAAAGACTGACTGTGCAAAGTGGTCTCGGTTCCAATCCGTCCATAGATCGCATTGCGGCAACGTAAACTGCGTCCTTGGCAATCAAACTAATGTCACGTCGGCACCACAAGTGTCAGTCGTTGGCAAACGCAGCCCTGACCTTGATTTGCCAGCGCACCGGAATTTACACAGCTGCCAGGAAGGATGAATGTATTTACTTACAAGACCACTTCACCAGCCCTAAAGAGGAGTGTCGTACGACAGACTAAAAGGCTCCTTTCTTCGAGGTCCTCTCTAAGGAAGATTTGTTTGTAGTAGTGGCAGTAGTTTGTTGTCCTTAGCATGATTTCGAATGAGACGTTTCCCTCTTTTCTTCCATATTCTCCTGTTACTCTTTCGCATTCATCGCTTGCATTCACTTTTTATGTTTGTGACCATGCTCTTCAAAAATAAATGATAATAGTTAGTCGAGAGGAGTAAACCTAAGCGGGGGTCCTTAACGGACCCTCTTAGCACCACTGCGCCGAGTTCGCGATGTCCATTGTTCGAACGGTTACGTGAACACAATGTGCACAGAATAATCGGCAGATAATTCATTGTCAACTGGTTTTTAAGGTTGCATCATCAAACCATCTGAGAGTGACAGGATTATTTAATTTCAGTGGGTTCACGATTTCGGGAGAATCGCTCTCATCGCAGTTTAAAGTGACAAGAGTAGCTGGCGTGAGACCATTGTGGAAACCACAAACAAAAAAGATGTGTATAAAAAAATTTCAGTTTAGCGAACATACTATGGAGTACTGGTGGATGCCACATAAATGCGCAGATCCTCCATGCAACCAGCCATCTTGTGACTCTGGTTTTATGAACAAACTCTATTCAGTTTCACCAGGTTAGTAGTGTCAGCAAGATAACGTAATCCATTGTGTTGTCTCCGAGTTTGTTAGTCTTGACAATCAAACTAACGGAGTTCACAGAGCTTTCGGCACCGAAATCAACGTAATCAACCAGCTAAAAATGGAAAATGGGTTCACACACTCACATACCTCGGCAATTTGCTTGCGACGTTCAGTTGCCACCGGTTCGGGAAGAGCTTGCAAGGCTGCAGCACTAATTGCTGTACTCCCCACATACATTGGGTCCACACTATCACCTTCTTTCGTTGATGACATGCTGGCCAGCACTTTCTTCTCATTTGCTAAAGCAGTCGCAAGATCCGTTTGAATGCGCTTAGCTTCGCTCAGCAATTGGCGTCTATCGCTCGTACTCGTGGCATCCCCCACATCCCCCAGTTCAGCCTGTCCCTCTAATTTGGACATGACCCTCTTCAGTTGATTTCGCAAACGCAAGATGTATGTTCGTTGAGCTTCTAATAACGTTTGTTTCGTTTCGCGGGACTGTATTGGAAACAAGAACGAAATCAGAAAGGATATTAAGAATTAAATGACGCACAATGAGTGCAAGCCGATTCGAGCAAAAGTCAAAAGTGACTGGAAGAATTCGACTTATCGTGTCAAGACTGGGTTAAGAAGTAATAGAGCAGAATTCAGACCGGAGCCCCATTATCATGAGAAGTTTTATCCACAGCACTCAGGTGAAGGCAAACAGAGCAGACGAAATCAACATGAAGTGATTCACCGATCCGTGTAGTTTGCGTTTGACGTGTTGGATCTCGCAATTACCACTGACAGCAATAAGCTGGAAATACATACTGGTGCTCAAATGCCAAAGCAAACACGCATGAATAAGGCAAAAACAGTGAACCACATTTTAAAAGAATCAGCCTATTTCGGTCTAAGAATTTTGTAAAACCAACCTTGTCCAACTGTTTCATAAGTTCGGCCCGCTGTTTCAGTGCAAGAGCTTTCTGACGTTCCCACAAGTAGGATGCTGCCTCTGATTTATTCGTTCGGGATAAGCTGTACCTGGATTTTCCGCTGTCTACGCGATGCTGTGACGAATACAGATGTAAGATAGACAAGCAGTTAAGTAGTTAAATGAGCAGACAGAAATAACGACCTAAGGTGATAAAGCAAAACCTATCAAACTTCCGCGATGAGAAAAAGACCTGCATGTCTCTCCTGGAATATTGATGTTACATAATTCCAGTGATGAAGTCCTAGCAATTCGTCCCTCTAAAAAACCCCTGAACAAGTTTCTTGAGGTCCCCAATGAACTGAGGGATCTTCCTCTGAGAGACCACGTCCCGATATAAAGCATTTATGATCAACCTCGTCAGGTTGTCCTCCAGAGTGGAAAACACTATCCACAGAATCAAAGTACATTGCATTTGTTTCCTTATCAAAGAACAGCAACACTTATCTCGGTTATGCATGTTATTGTTATATTGTTATTGTGTTATTATTATATTATTGTTACTGTTATATTGTGCAATTCGAAATTCCAACAAAGGTCCGTGATTCGTACCCAACGCACACTGACGAAATTTATAGGACAACCACATGCCGACCAGGATTGTTGTTTCTACTTGAATTTCTTTATTTCCCGTTCTGCATGAAACGATTAATAAGTGATCACACGGCAACCAAAGCATGCGTGGCAGACACTAGTGGGTGGGCTGATAAAAATCGGTGCTCAGCTATATCTGATAAGCGCGTTGGTCTCAGTTCGACATTGCAGGTGAGCTGTGTTCCGGATGGCGGACGAACTTCGCCCAGTTGCAGTGTTTCTGTACCTTTCTCGTTTGATGTAAGTCTCAGTATGACCGGGAGTGAGTATACCAGGAAGAAGGGTAGCCATCGTTCGCTCCCAAGAGAAGCTAGAGGCTTTTTTACCATTGGTGCCTTTGATGAATACCAAAAGTCAGTTACCTGGAGAAAGTGTCCAACAAAATCCGGGAGCACTATAATCAATTATACCAATATCAGGTGTATCGGAGGCCCCGTCTACAGTAGCCTGCACATCTAGTAAGCAACAGCGATGCTGAAATTCATGATCAAACCTTGCCGACAATGGCGCTGTCGCCCCGGGGGTCAGAGACGATGTGGAACAACATGGTCTTTACTGGTCACTGTCAGTGGATCCAGCGCTACGATCTGTGCAGATTTGAGAGAAGGCCTCCGCCCGTAGGCAGCTGCTGTTCCAAACATTCTGGAGGCCGACTTACCTAAGAGATAGTGGCTTAAAGTTAAAGTAAGTAACCGAGGATGGCTTCGCCAGGGGAATATGCGGGTCACCGACTCTCTTGACTAAAGAGGAAGTCAGACAGTTTTCACCGTACTTATATCCCATGGAAGCTTTATTCTTTGTACATCGCATGGGAAACTATAGAGTTCGAAAGATGGCTATCCTTGATCGTAGAAAAACTTGTCCACGCCAGGGCAGCGTGAGGGTGATTCAAATTCAGCACAACCTATAGTGGCATAGCAACTTAGCATCGAAGGGCTGCCCAGCTGAAACTAGTTTGCAGGGGAAATTTTCGCTACAATTTTCTATAGGTCATAACAGAGGGATTCCCCGGTTTTGTTTGTCGAAAGCTTTACGTATCTGCAATTGGTGTACACCGCCAGTTGTGAGTTTATGAAACAGGAATCACGAACACAAGTGACCGATTCGAAAAGCACAACCAGGGATTTCGTAAACAAGACATGGGGTTTGGAGCTGGAATTGGGGAAACATGAGTAGCTCAAAGATCCAAGGACCGTTAGGTCGGTAGTTAGCGCCCTGATCTATGAGCTACCTAGGTGATTATTGTAAAAATTGTTAGAAACTGGATGCCACTATCTCACCTGATCTGACAGATCCACATTGCTTTTCAAGCTGCCATCGAGAGAGCGGTCGACTGTGTAGTCTACAAGGCCTGGACGATCACTGTTTTCGTCATCAACCGCCATTCGTTGATCTTCCACTTCCTCTTCTCCTGAGGCCATGTCATCCAGCAAGCAATTCCCGCTCCGCTCCAGACGCCACCGAGACCGACCGCCTTTCTGAGGGGCGGAATCGGTTGGGCCTGAGGTGTCTATCGCCGACCTTAACCAGCCGTACTTGTCCTGACTTGCAATCGGCCTTTGTCCAAGACGTTCTTTTAGTGTCTGCAGTGAAGGATGAATTTGGATGAAAAGTGAGAATACCCTAGGGACTCGTGAGAACGGTGGGTGAGAAAGACCAATAGAGCCAACCACTGGATAGTTACAGCCGGACCAATTGAGAGGATAATCATAGCCGGTCATCTACATACACGGAACCTGATCCAACATTATCAAGGAAACACATGTGGAAGAGAACTGAGCTGCAAGACTCGGTGGGCTCGAACCTTAACCTCATGCTTGCGGATGAACCGATTGAGGTAGTAGACAAATTTGTTTACCTGGGCAGCTGTATCAGTCCCGGTGGTCTCGCGAAAGATGATATTTCCATCCGGATTGGGAAGGCCAGAGCAGCTTTTGCGAACCTATGTCACCTGTGGCGTAGGCGTCACATCAGCTTCTCTGTCAAGGGTCGGGTTTACAATGCTGCGGTGCGGGAACACCGGATCAGCAATGCTGAAGTATGTCGAGTGGTATTCGGGAGAAATAACTCACCCTCGATAGCTGAACTGATCACACTGCACAGGTTGCGTTGGCTTGGCCACGTACTGCGTATGCCAGTCGACCGACTTCCTCGAAGGGTTCTTTTCGCCCAACCATGTGAAGGATGGAAGAGGGCCAGAGGCGGCCAAACAATGACTTGGCAGCGAAGTGTGAAAGTCACTACCAGCAAACTCAGCTGCGCTGGTCGCTGCCGTCTTCCTGGATGGGGACCCCGAGACGAGCCACATCAACGGCTAGAGACATTATCAGACATGGCCCAGTCGCTCCCTCAATGGCGCTCGTGCATCAAAGCTATTGCCTTCAATGCATAGCTCCTTTTCCAGCCCCCAACCCCACTTGACAGCCCACTGACAGTGCTGGATTTATGCACCAATTTACCAGCTCGTGCGTGCAATGCGCAGCTACCTACCCCCTCCCCCCACATCATCGGTGAATGAAACTGCGGCAGCTACAACCACTGTACGACGAGTACGCGGTTCTTACAGCTGACAATGATGATGATGATGGTGATGGTGAAAACAGCCAATTCGAACAAGACTTGGAACAGTCGCACACTCCATTTTCTCGAAACACGAAAAGCCAAAGGGCGAGGCATAGCAACATCATTCCAAGGGAAGCATTCTAGGAAGAAACAACTTCAATAAACCTCGGAAGTTCCACCACAATATACTCGTGAAACGCAAGGCGACCCAGTCCAAGAAAGAGTATTCATCTCCAATATGAAAGGTTTGTTTTTTGTCAAAAAAAAACTGTAACTTGTGGCTGTGATTTTCGCCCAACTAACACTAAAACTACAATAAACCCTTAGTGTATGGTGGAACTGTACTGAATGTTGGGAGACCAGTAAACTGATGTGTGGATACCGATCGAAGAAATAGACTAAATGTGATGGTTCATCCACAGTTGTTTCATCACACTTCGTGGTTTCATTCTTCAATTTTGATTGGTACTCTAACTATTAGGATAGAGACCCTACCTCTACTGGCTTCAACACTACTGCAGTGCGTAACTGAATCGCATGATACCAGGTAGGCGATGCACTGACTACATCTTCACAGAACGTAAAGTCGAAATCAGCTATAACACACTTTCGGTGCCTAGCTGCCACGACGCCCGAAGGAAGCACGATGGCAGGGATACTTTGAGTTTGCCCAAGCCCAGACAGGGAAGGCAGACGCAGAAGTCGGGTTCCATTTGCGCTGTAACCGCTGAGTCATCTCGCCCCCAGCAGTGCATCAAAAATACCATCGACCAGATGCGGTAGTTTTCTTTTACTTCAATGGAGCTGTTGATTCCATGAGTAGATAGGCTCCTCTACATACAGCTGGCTAACGAGGAGTGTCATCAGAGCGCGATATATATTACCACAATAGTCGTCGTACTGAAGTTTACTGTGACTTTCCGACTGTTTCCTCAAAAGTATTTGGATATGTCAAGCGCCCTCTGTTCGCTTTTGTCATAAACGACAAAATAGTGTATTTTGGTGGTCAGCATGGCAGCTCTACACCAAGGAACACTGTCATCAACAATATGAACGCTGGTCGTGGGCTGTTTCGCACTTCGAATATTGACACATGCGTCATCATATGTTACTGGGGTATTGTTGTCAGTGATGACAGTGTTAGCCTGAGTGAACACAAACCGAAGTCTACAAGCGGCAGCTACAAGCATCAAATATCAAGATACTAATAACTCGCCCTCAAAAAGATGGATGCATCGGGTATATGTACCACCCCTTGGATAAGAACTTCAACTAATGCAACGATAAGATTCCTAAACCCGGAAACAATGGAGATACATCAGCACGGGGTCGCAAAGCAAGAAGTCAACCACCTACCTTTGAACGCAGGTCATACGGTGTCTGCCGTCCTCTACGACTTTGTCCAAACTTGTTTGGTGGCATCGTAGAGAGTCGTATGAAACGATTGGATAGTATGGGTTCCGGGCTGCGGTACGCTCTTTCTGCTTCATCTGTCGAAGAAAACTCAACCAGCGCCGCGTCCGGTATCGAGTAATAGCGGGACACGACACGAACAAGTGTGCCGAAGCGGGAGAAATGCTCGCGTAGTTTGAACTCATCGTTTAGGCGCCAGGGAATGTGAGTAATGTAAAGCACGCAAGGGAAAGAAGAGTCCCTTGCAGTAGACGATGGAGGTGTAGATGAGAAAGTCGGTTTAGGAAGGCGCTCGGAAATAGGACTGGGAGTATAGGTTACAGACGGTCGACTTGCAGCCTCACGGCCTACGGTCCACATCTCAACTGATGGGGAGACTGACGACTCCGTATTGGAGATCATGGAGATATGTGGCTTGTCAGGCTCGTAGGCTGGTGGAGCATGGCAGGTTGTGACTGCAGACCCAGTTGAACCAGCCGCATTAGTGGCCAAAGGGATGGATATTATGTTGGGGCGAACTGCCACGGAACCGATAGTATTTCGATAGCATTCTGCTAACGGCGCAGCCTGCGCGTACGCTGAGAGATCGAAGCCAGCAACATTCCAGGCGTATCCATCCGGAGTAGGAGGCGGGACGCTCATCAAGGCCAGGTTGATGGGAATATCCGCAGAATCTATGCATTCAGTGGTACTACTGGTGGACTGCTTAACTAAATAGAATAGGGAAAAAAGGCAACACCACAATGAAACCACAGTGAACGAGGAATAATACCTTCAGTGGTCAAGGTGATGGGAATATCTATTATATCTATTATTGTCGTTAATATCACAAGCATTGGAGAGTGGAGTAGCAACTATGATAGAGGAAATTCTCCCAATTATTTATCTGATTTATCTATACATGCTATATTTTTAGCAAGTCGCAAGCGTACACATCTAACCTCCACGAGTCCAAAGGCCGATCCGAATGCATTTGTGGGGTTGGCCCTATTGCGATACTAACTAGTTTATTAAACATCAACACCTTATCATTAGGCCATAGCAGACCCAAATTGGTTTGGGACAAAGTTCAACTGTCACATCAAGACAAATTAATTTCCAATGAAAACCTATAAAAGTGGGTCAGTTGACTAATCGCAGCTCCCAGGATTGTTCATTCCATCTCACACTTCCCAACCCCTGACTCAGAGAGTCAACATGCTCCTTTGTTCGGTGCGTGTTAGGAAACTAGTGGTAACACACCCGCCTCGAATATCTGACGTCCGGAGTTCAAAGCCGAACACCGACAGAGATGTGCACTGCTGGTTATGTCTAATGGGACCAACAGGAGTGATTGTTTCGAAACAGAAGGAAAACTGTTTGATAAGAAAATCCACAAAGCAAGCTTATGAGTGTGTGTTAGTGTGCACACATTGGACTGGTTTCAAAATTCCAGAGTATTCGGTGGGACTCCAACCGGTGAATTATAAAACAATAAATGCAGTAGTTTAATGATTTCTAACCACTCATCTTTTGCAAACTGCAGTGATTCCTTAATATAAAGTAATACAAATATTAATGAACTATCAAGGGAAGCAAACGCAACGTGGTAAACCTGCATGGCTTTTTTGTGCACTGGTTGGAAAAGGGCAATAGAGACCAATCCTATAGCGAAACTTTCATTTTCAGTTCACTGAATCAATCGCCCACAAATACTCCACTGAAATGCCACATCTTATAAGCACAAAGTTCCTCTCTATAGATAGACCTAAGGATGTTAGAACAGACAACTCTGGAAGGTAAAAACCGAGAAAAGGTTAAAACCGAACGCATAGATATGAAGCATAAATCGAACGCAGCGCACTAAATGTGGTCGAGAAGGGAGTCACTTAAGTAACCTACTTGGAGTAGGCCTATACACGGGGACAGTAGTACGCTCGTTTGCGTGAAAGTTAGATGCGGCATTGACACTTTGGTCGAGGCCACTACCACCAGCGGGGATAACGGCCGAAACAACCGACTGAAGCTGGACTACTTGGGGATGTGAAGACACCTGTTGTTCTGTTAGTGGTAGCTGCTGTTCCGATGAAGTAGAAGAGTCGGGCAAACTGAGAATATTGGAATTAGCATATGTTGCCTGGGTGGACATCTGCGTGATTGCTGCCGCTGCAGCACGAGTTGAAGGAAGCACCAGAGCCTCCGGACCATGATCAAATGGACAATGAGACCCGAATGCACAAAAGCCTCGGTCGTCAAAGTTGCGGCAGCGACGTCGTCGAGTGAACTCAGAACCACGACCTACCACATCACGGTCGCCCTGTGCATTTCGTAATCTACCACCGTAGCGATCATTGTATGGAGAACGAAATCTCTCACGTGACAATCGGGAGCGGCGCGCATCTAATTCTCGTGACTTGGATCGACGCCTATACCAACTTGGATCCCCACGTCCTGAGCTGCTAAAAGCGGCGCCTGCAAGAAAAACAAAAACCGGGGAGCATGAAATGAGTAAATAGATTAAGTTCTTGCAAGTGAACGTAGTAATTGTCCCGAAGGAAGAACATTGTGAGGAAGACCCTATTAGCATGGATATGCATATAATTCAATATTAGTGCGAAAACCGTGGAAGAGTGTAGAAAGGATTTTTAACTGAAAACTGACGCAAAGTAAACAGGATAATATGTTAACACAAACAACCCCCATATACTATATATCCCTGCATCACTATTGCCACAACCGGCCACGGGACGATTAATACGCGAAATAAACAACAGATTTGTGTCAATATTACAAGCAGTTAGGTACAAGTTTAGTCGTAGATAACACATTGAATGAAGACGTTATGCAACTCACCACGACGTCCCGTGTGGTCATTGTCACGTCTGGAAAAATGAGTATCAAGGTCTGCCGGACGGGTTCTCCCATCGTCTGAAACACCTTCTTTGTCCTCGCTTTTTCGGCCAGTCCTAGAGTGCCCAGCGGTAGAAGAAATTGTGTTGCGACTAACAGACTGTGGGGAATGTGATCGACTTTTCGAACTGGTCGCAGATTTCGGTCTATTACTGTTTGAACGCTTCCGTTTTTGTTTGGGTGCGGAGGATAAAGAATCGGTGCCCGGTACAACCGAATCACCAGGAGTATGTCGTTTTTTGTCTTTGCTGACGTCAGGCCGTGAATGCTCACACGCCGGAGTCCGCTTCGTCGCAGTTGAACTATCGTTCGAGGATTGCACATTTGCACTGGTGACAGCCGCCTCAGACGCTACGTAGGAACGTGACTTTAGAGCCGCAAAGAGGTCGGAGACAAATGAGGACGTGTTTTCCTGCAAAAATACCTCCAATTGGTCTATACATATTTCCTTCAGTTCCTTTTCCGGCTTATCCTTTTTAATTAATGCAATGACGTACTGTGATAGTGGTATTGGATCGGCCACGCACCTGGGTAAGGAAAAATTGAAAAAAGGAAACAAAGTAATACTAGCTACTTAACAATGGTGCTTGTCCGCGAGCGAATACTGCGTCGATTGAAGAATTCGGAAATAGTGGACAGCTCACTGTCGCTCAGCTAGGGTATAGAGTTTTATGTCACCAAACTTGCAATCTTATGTTGCGACTGCTCAAAGGGTAGAAAATAAATGGTTCAGAAATGACACTTATAAGGGAAACAGATGTTCCACAGTCCGAAGGGGACATCACTTAAGATGTCGACAAATGTAGACCACAGACCGTGCAGTTCAAATGGACTATCTATAGTGTTCAGCTAGTGTTCAGCTCTCGCACTTCAAAACTGGGGAAGCACTGAAGAGAGGTTTCATCTATATTGGGAACCATCAAGAGTGCGCACCTCAAAGATTTCCAGGGAGTTTAAACTCACGAACATCTCGATAGTAGTGTGAACACTCAAACATTCGGTCAAGAGCAGATGAAGCCCAGTGATAAACTCTAACGTAGACGGGATACAGCGTCATTAATTCTTCATCACGGAATGAGTGCGCACCTCAAAGATTTCCAGGGAGTTTAAACTCACGAACATCTCGATAGTAGTGTGAACACTCAAACATTCGGTCAAGAGCAGATGAAGCCCAGTGATAAACTCTAACGTAGACGGGATACAGCGTCATTAATTCTTCAATCACGGAATGCAGGTTAGTTGGCCATGCGCTGACATGCTGACATCTCGGACTGAAGTCTCACCCGTCTGGTTAATTTAATGTTTTAAGACATCGGTTAGCAAAAACCTTAATTCATTCAGTTCAATTTATCAGCTATGTACCGAGTACCACAGGCAACTTGGTTCCAGCTGCTACTGTTTTGATCCCCGGAAAACGGGAGATTGTGGGACATACAGCCAAGTTTTGGAGGCGATAGCACATCTGGTTAGTCCGGGAACTGCGTAGCTACGTATTGAAGGTGATGGCTTTGATACCTGAGGTACGCAGAGGTCATGGCTCAATCACAAAACAATACAGCCCGCACTAAAGCCTGGTAGACGCGTCCGTTGGGACTCCTTTTAATAACACCAGTGACGCAGATTGGCAAACCTAATTCTGGACTTTGAGATTCGTGCGTTAACTTCGTCTGTCACACTACCGTCAGAGCTAATTAAACTCGAGATACATATGGTGCTGCTCAACTTCCAGCGCCACACTCGTTGAATTCTTACGAGTATGTTTACGAACTGCACTTTCTGCAGCATGATTTTGCACTCCGTGGACGCGATCATCATCATCATCATCATCATCATCATCATCATCATCATCATCATCA